GCCCTTGCAGTTTGTTGTGGAGCATAGGCAACGCCAAGTTGTCGCTTGCTGGCAAAAGGATAGCAAGGTCATTTGAGCCTGCACACTTGGCAATGTCCTGCACATGTGCTTTCGTAGCAAAGACAATTCCGCCTCGTGCTCCTCCAACCTGGAGACGATGAGTTTGGAGTAGCGAAGCACCGTCAGTTCCGGTAAAAGGAACTGGTTCCTTGATGATCAAGTCTTCCCACTTGCTCTGTGCTGGCCGAGGTGTTGATCCAAGCCACGGGTCAGATTTGAGCCATGGGTCCTTTTTGTCACTTGAGTGGGACGAAGCCGGTCGAGTCTTAGTACCGGATTCATCTTCTGCGGTCTTCATCTGGACGTCAGGTTGATCTTGGCCTCCAGCAGAGATGTATTCAGCAGGAAAGCGGTTTTCTGCAACCCGGGCAAGGAACCACTGTCTGATGTTGGCTGCAAAATCGATGAGGTGCGGGTCAGCTCCAGCTGCTGTCCACAAAGCACGAGCCTCAAAATGAGCTCTATCAAGGTCTGCTGCAAGCGGATGAAAGCTCAATTGTCTTCTTTGCGGCGCTTGTAGCGGGACTGTGTTTGCGGCAAGTCTGTGGTAGATCTGCGCAACAAGGTGGTACCCACACATGTGCATTGGAGACTGCTGATCATAGAAGTGGATCGCAATCTGTGTGTCTCGTGCTCCAGTGACGTTGATCAAGTGATCAACGAGCGGTTGGAGGCGAATGTGACTGTTGGCCGGAAAGGTAAAGGCGAAATTCGATGCGTCTTCGTGCAAATAAGCATCAGCCTGCACCCAGTGTTGGTCAACCTCAATGATCCAAATGACTTGGTTGAAGGCTCGATAGTCAGGGATGTAGTCATTGAGGAAGTGGAGACTGGATGAGCCAACATTCCAAGACGAAGGCGGGCAGAACAAAGTCTGCGGGTTCATGGCTCTAGGACCTTCCAGCGATATATCGAGTTCATCTGATGACATCCAGCCTGGATGGAGGAGAATCATCGTCACCCGATGCCGAATCCTGTCAATGATGATCTGAGTTCTGTCAAGCTGCTGTGGCACATGGACAGGTGGAAGATCCGGCTGTGCAGTGCGTGCCTGTGGTTGCGGTGTCGGTGGTGGACAGGCTACATACAAGGCAATCTGCTGCTGTGGTCGCCCTTGAAGCTCACGTCTTGCCAGGAAGCATAGGAAGTTCTTCCGCAGTGTATAGGCAAGTTGCCCAACATCAATGCTGATCTGAGCCAGGGCCCAGTCTTCGCACGAGCACTGCATCGCAATTTGGATCAGGTCGTTGTACTCCTGTGTGAGCTGCATATGATTGGAAATGTCAGCGATGCCCTGATGAATGCCATGCCTGCGATACCATCGAAAGATGAGGTTCCAGCCACAAGTATGCGGTGGAGGGTCATTGAACTCACTCTGAACCAGAAAGCGGTGCGGAGCAATATCAAGCAGGCGAGCGACCAAAAATGTGAGGGCAACATGCAGGCGTTCTGGTACTTGCACAAAGAGCACTGAAGTCTCAGATCCACGGCGTGTCACCTCAATTCCGGCCCAATGGCTTCCAATCAACACAGGAATAGCCGTGACACAATTGTTGGGAATGTCGAGTTCACCGAAGATAGGAGCTTCGAAATCGCCTTTTGTGATGTCCCAGAGCTGAGGTGAACCAAATCGCAACCAGTCTTGTTGCCATTGGAGTGCTTGTGTGTAGTGGAACATTTCATCCGTAGCAACCCAGCCATGTGTATCACACATAAATTCTGCTCTGGCCGTGAAATCGGAGAAAGCCGGCAATGTCGGTGGAGCTGCAAGGTTGTGGTGGTGGCCACCAGCATGCACTGGGGCAGGCCAATACACATCAACAATGTCACCATCCTGAAGAGGAACTCCCGTTGATGGCACTTGGGAGCCATTGACTTGACTGATAGTGAGTGGCTGACACATGTCGTTGATGGAAAAGTCGATCTGTTGACCACCATCTGGCATACAGGCTCCAACGACAAAGCTCTTGTTGATCCTGACAATAATCTCTGCTGCTTGTGGATGCTCACAGTACTGTGCAGTAGAGATCAATAGATATTGACAAGGTTCTCCCTGGATGCTGCAGAATCGCTTGTTTCTGTCTGAAAAGAGTGGCAGACTTGCCACACGCTGCAAAAACTTGGATTGCTCATCATTCGAGATGTACACAGTGATACTGAGTTGCTCTGGCAAAACTACCACTGTGGCTTCATATTTGGATAAAGCAATATCGTCTTGCAGTGTTTCGACGATTCGCTGGATCTCGAGGAAGATGCTGTACTCACAGTGGTCGTCAAGGTTCCGGATGGGCAGCAGTGGAGTTGAAGCCGCTCGCTCACTGGAAGACTCATCGATGACCTTAGTACGAGCGTCGGGACGCAAGGTTGCGTGAAGCTCGCGCCAAGTGTGGCAAAGCCGAGAACAAGCCGAAATGTGTTCTCTTGGCAGGCAATCTGTTCGATGGTAGTGCGATTGCATATGCGAATGTCTGAATTCAGACCACAAATTTGCAGGAGCAGGTTTTGCGGGATGCAACATCGTTCACGAAAGATCTGTTGAATGGTCTGATCTGAATGAACCTGAAATTCAAACTTGACATCAGCACAACTACCTGCCATGGTCCACTGGGCCTTGGAGCGGTCTTGGCCTGGTTTGATGGAAACCCACTTCCAGAAGTCCTTGATGGGGATCAAATGAACAAGTCCATCCAGAGCAAACAAAATGGCATTATAAGCAGTCAGTCGTTGAGCCCACACTTCCCTGACAAGTCCAATCGGGTCAACAGCACACGAACTGGTGGCATGCAGAACAATGGACAGGGCAAGGACTCCATGTGGGACGGTGATGGCATTGCCTACGAAATGGAATGACTCTTCAATCTTCTCAGAAAGAACAACGTGCTCAGTCGTTCCAAACAGGCTGCAGAACAAGGCCGGGTCAAGAAACCGGAATCCGGATGCCGATTCCTGAAGACACGCAAAAATGCCTTTCTGTCTCAAGTGATGCTCAGCCAGGTGGTGCTGCCTCGAATATGAGGCACACAAGGTCGGGAGCACATCTGATCCATTCGGGATCCTGGATCTGATGACCTCGTTGGTGGCTGGCTTCTTGTTCTCGAACCTGGCACGTTTGGCCGGTGGCAAGAAATGAACTGAGTCATACATCCTGCATTCAGAGTCCGACAACTGCAACTGCGAAATCCATCGTGATGGGATGGGGAATTGATAGCACTGGTCAGTCCAATGAGTGCGAGGAAAACTCGGCAGCCTCAACTGAAATGGAAAGGCCTGCATCGTGAGGTCCGCACGAACCCACACTCCCAACCACCGAGATCTGGCATGTGAGGTCATGACATGGTATGGAGTGACCTGATCCCACACTAATTTGTAGCCCAAGGCACTTGCAAGGGCTTTGACAATCTTGAAGTGAGGATGTGTGACTATGTCATCCGCACATTCGGCAGCAATGCTAGTCGCCTGGACAGAAAAAGCCAACACCAGTGCATCTAAAAATGCTTGTCCGTTGGAGTCTTCGATGCCGGCTCGGAGCCCTCCCTTGCTCCAACTCTGACATGGCGGAGACATAGTGACTACCAGATTTGCTTGGGACCTGCATGCATCAATAATCGAAGGGTCAGCGATGTTCCCGCAGAGTCCTACGTTCTTTGCATGTGACCAGGCTTGGTTGGCGTCCAATGGTAGCCTGCGAAATTCAGCACAGTGCTTGGCGTTCCACACGGTCATCACCTGTGGGTCTCTGTCGATGAACATCTCTTGTCCAAGGCACAATTTTTGGGTCTTGTCAAGCCAGCGGACGGCCTGACTCCATCCACCATATGCGCCGCAGAACAAGTGCATGACATCAACTGGTAATGTCGGCTCGTGTTCAGGCCTGAAACAAATGCGAGCATTTCTCAATGTCAAGGTGTTGCCATCAAGCATGGAAGAACAGTCGCCGATGCAAACCACTTGGATGCCAGGGCAAACATGCAAACACTTGTCGCTCAACCCTTGGAATGCAATCCTCACATTCAAGGTGTCTTTGTCGCCCTGAAAACCAGCTCTCGGAACAAACCACATGGCTTGTAAATCAATCCACTCATCACCAAAAGATGTCACGTTGCCGGCCACGAAGGTCGAGGGCCCGATCCAGGGGAAATACCCTGCCTTCAGGCCAGAAAAAAGGCCAAACACCCCATTCCTCACAGATTCCTGGAGGTCGCCCCACATGGGCTCCAGCTCATCCATGGCGCGAGAACACACGCGGGTCACACCAGCTTCAAGGCACAACCTGAGGCCTGCGGCCAGGTAGGCTGGCCGCTAGTGGACACTGCCTTTCAGCCGCGAGGCCAAACAGGCAGCCGCAGGGGGCCAGTCTCCTAAGCCTTAGGGCTTTGGGCCCAGAAGCTCATTACTACTAGTAACAAGAAGCTACTAGTAGCTAAGTGCATCTGCTACTAGCAAGGACGCTACTGTTACTATTCAAAGCGTGGTCCTTTTGATCTCTCCTCCTGGCACTAGTAACCAGTGCATTACTACTAGTAACAAGAAGCTACTAGTAACAAGGTGCATTGCAACTAGTAGCAAGAAGCTACTATATAGTAGCTAAGTGCATTAACAAGAAGCTACTAGTAGCTAAGTGCGTCAACAAGAAGCTACTAGTAACAAGGTGCATCGCTACTACTCGCAAGGACGGGACTACTACTATTCCAAGCGTGGTCCTTTTGGATCTCTCCTCCTGGCACTAGTAGCCACTGCATTACTACTAGTAACAAGGTGCATCTAGTAACAAGGTTTATCGCCACTAGTAGCAAGAAGCTACTAGTAGTAGCTAAGTGCATTAACAAGAAGCTACTAGTAGCTAAGTGCATCAACAAGAAGCTACTAGCAACAAGGTGCATCGCTACTACTCGCAAGGATGGGACTATTACTATTCAAAGCGTGATCCTCTTTGATCTCTCCTCCTGGCACTTGTGCAGCAAACAGCCCAGTGATGCCACAGCCATCGGTATGCCATTCAGTGCCCATCTGGTTGAGCTCGGGCGTAGCGCCCCGGTGTAAGGCGACATCGGAGGTCAGGTTTCCAAGAGCACGGACCGTGGGTAGTTCAGGCAAACAGGAGGGATCTCCCTGCGCAAAGGGGTTCTTGGCCCGTGCCAGCTCTTCAAGATCCACATCTGGGAAACTCTTCATAAAGTTCAAGAAAACTTGGGGAGACAAGTCCTGCTGCTTTGGGAAAAGCAATATTCCATACTCCTTCAGGGGCCAAGCTTTAGTCACCTGGGGGTCAGCTGAACCAAGGCTTTGCTCATGTTTGTTGGTGCTTAGGGCTTAGCCCTGGCACCCTTTTTGGGGGCCCAAATTACATGCCAAAAATTGGTTCGAGTGCCTGAGTGCTCTTTCAATAGCTGACCTAACGTCTTGCGCCAAACCATACTGTTTCCCGAGCTCCTCGAGCAGCGGAGCAAAAGTGCTCAAGATCTCTTCCTTGGTCACCTCTGCAAGGTCAACTCCTTCCACTCGAGCACCCAGAAAGGGATGCAACTGGGAAATCTTGTCCTTCCACCGGCCCCTCATATCCTTTGGAGGGGATCTGGAGCGTGACATGGCTGGCGGAGGAAGGCCAGGATGGGGGCCCTCTTGAACTGCCCGGAAACAACTGCAAGAAGAAAAATGAAGAAGAAAAACAAACACTGAAAAACTTGCAATCAAATACCCTCCTGTGCATCCCAAGTATAAGAGCAAAGGACAATTTCGTCCATGCCCCATGTGCACTAGATTTTGGCAACAGGTTGTACTCGTTCTGCTTTTCTTCTTGGGGCTCTAAAAGCCTTGCTTGCAGTGTTTTGAACGACTAACTAGAGGAAGCTGCACGTGGCTCCGTTGAGAAAATGTGAGCTCCAAAGAATCTGTCAGTTCCCAAAGAGTGTAGCGCTTGAACTCAGCACGCAGGCCACAATGGATTTAGAAAACACCATAGCCGTGTAGGATACGGCAGGGGGCACCTGTGGGCCATTTTATAGATATAAAGTGGGGGTGAACCCCCCTATGGAGTATACTTTGGGGGAGGGACCTACCCCACAACTTATATAAAATGGCCGGGCCCCACCTCAGTTTGTGATGCCTGATTCTCTGTTTCCTGCGTTCAAAGACTACCTGTTCAAAGACTGCCCTTCAAAAAGTGATAGCAGCTCCCAAACTTCAGGTATCAAATGTGTCTCTGCGTCTGATTGATCATGCAATCAAGCATGTATGATTGCTTGCCAAAACTGACAACCCATCTCTGCAAACTAAATTTTCTCTATAAAATCAAGACCCCACCCCCCCACAGGGGTAGACATGAAACATTTTCTGAAGTACGTGCACCCCCCTCATTTCATAGGGGAATCCTACATGGCTATAAAACGCAATGGTATGCCGCGAATTTCAATCGACTGGCTTTCCGGGTCTACCGAGGTCATGACTAACGTGAGCCCCACCACCCAAGAGGCGGAAACACTAGCAAGAGGCACCCAGCAACGAATGTTGTGATTCTTTGAGTCAGAAACCTGGGTGAAACATCATATTCTATAATATCCTGGCTGAAAGACTGGGTTGCCCACCCCGAACTTTGCAGCCATACATCTACCAACCCCCGGCACCTCAGGAGCCGCTTTCTGCAGAGCGTCCTCTGAAGGGCAAGCTGGAAACCAAGGAAACGACATGGGAGTGTAGCAATCGGAGACCGATTCAACCGGTTTAGTGTTGTTTTTGTTCATCTTCCCAAGGGGTCTGACTCGGGGGTCTCCCAATTCATGCCTATTCTGCCTCAATCTTCAGGAGTCCAACATATAACACTTCCAGAGTGGCGACCTTTGAATACATCAGCCGACTGCTTTTCCTCATGAGACTGGTGCAACGAATGCAAGGAATCGGGGACGTTGCGCCCCATCTCAGAGATCCCTGAAAGGTTCCAACCACCCCTGGTCCTTCTATAAACAAAAGCAATGAGGCGTATCCTGATGTGCCAGCTCTGCTTTGAGCTGCTGACTGCTGCATCCAACCCCTTCTCTCTCTCTCTCTCAGCATCCAACGATCCTCATTCAAAGCAGCCAGGCAGTTCACAGATCCGAGCCCCAACGAGAATGCGTGCCGTCTGTGATGCTCTGAGCAATTCTTCGAGAAATGGGTGCGTAGCTCAAACAGGGAGACCTCCCAATTCGACCCTCGTGGAAGAAGGGAATATAGGCCAGAAATGGCCAGAACCCAACAAACAATTGTGCGTGAAACTTCAAAGGCCAAAAACCCATTGGTTGGGGGTCTCCCTATAAAAAATGCACACCCAAATCAACATCTTGTCATACTACTACTGCAAGTCCAGCCAATCGTGTTCCTCCAAGGTGTTCATGCCTGCAAAGCCTCTTCCATTTTGAATTCTGCAATGCTGCGTGGCGTAGCAGGTATTAGTCACCATGCACGAGCACAGCACAACGCAATCATAAAAACCGAGGTCAAGCACTCTACATGAGAATGTGGGTGATAGTCCCATCACGTCATGTTTCTTCCAAGACGGGCAGCCCGCGTTCCACATCGTTCTACTCCGTTTGTCCGTCTGGGAGCGCCACCAAAGTCCGCCATCTTGGCTGTGTGGTGTCGGTCGAGCAATATGTTGGCCTCAGAGCGGCTGTGGACGACAAAGTCCGGAAATGGCCACTGGCTGATGAGCTGATGTTTCCTGTCATTGCAGTCAACCTAAGAGTGTGGTGGAAAAGCAGCTGGGGCCAGCTAGAGTCGAACTCGAGCCTTGGCTGGTATCCAGATATTAAATTAAGTTTAGGATAATTCAGGATGCTCAGCGGCTCAGGGTCCCCAACTTGAGCCAAACCTCGCAATCTCTCCCCTTCCACCCGCTCGCCCCGTTTTCGCTAACGGATCCATCTTCATCAGCTCTCGTACTGCCATGGTGGCATAGCTGGACTTGGGCAAACAAAAGTCCACCACCAGCGCCAGGGGATCATGCTGAGACGATCCGTCCACGTGGCAGCCATCCTCGAGGTCGTTCGGCACCAAGGGGCTGGGCGGCGCGTGGTCGATGAAGTGGAATCCTCGGGACATCCATGTGCAAGGGAGATCCCAGGTTTGTGTCACCCTGAGGGCCCAAATGGTTCACCAATGGCTGTCGTGGAAGTCTCTGTTCCAAGTTGGTCAAGCACTGTGGTGTTCTTCCGCGAGGTCAATGATAAAAAACTCATGCCTTACCTACCCCTCCTGTTTCTTTCTATCTCTTGATGGCCCAGCACCAAAAATGGAAGGACTGTCGGCAAGCAATGGGGCCCGCTGCCAAGCAAAGACCATGAACCAAAAATCCAAAGATCTAGGCCCAACATGCCAGGCCCCGAAGCACAAAAGGCTCCAAGTTGTTTGGATCGATTGGGGTCCATGGGGACAACCATTCGGATTCTAATATGTGAGATGGGTCAACGTCTCGATGTGGTAGAACGACAGCAAGCGAAGTCTGCGTCTCACCTTTTCTACTGGGGTCGTAGTCTAGCTATGCTCAAGGGCCCTCGTGGCCGCAAAAGGGACATGGAAAGCGCTCAACCTGTCATGAAATGACGTGTATTCATGGATGCATTCGCAAACATTCAGATGGGCAAAGAGTCTTAAAATCAATGCCGCATGGAAAACATTCAAAAAGTAGGCACTCTTTCGTGCCGGCCCGAGCTTCGCCTTCCTTTCTCACACGCGACTCTCATACGTGCTTGTGAACCTCCAAGCTCCGTCCACAGCACTCGCCATCATGGCGTTAACGACGTCGAAAGTGAGTCGCGTCTGTTGTTGCCGATCACATAGTTCACCATTCTCAAACTTTCTCTTCTCCTTTTCATGGCGGTTTCCGCCTTCACTCTGGCTCAAAAGCTGCTTGTTCAGCTCCTCCAAAGTTTTTTCCTGCTTCCTCACTCCGACATGGATGTCAACGATCAAGTCAAAGTGAGCATTCAGGAAGCGGTGCCACTGGCAAATTTCGGCATCACTGTAGCCGAAACTGTTGTCTTTCAAGCTCAGCTTCAAGAACTCTTGCTGCCGGACTTCTGGTGTGCCAAATCACATGGCCTCTCATGTGGGCAGTGACCACGGCTGAATTCAAAGTCTCAAGCGTTCTACGCCAGGCTTCTTGACCTTCCTCTTGGCAAACCATTTCATAGAGGCGGCTCCACCTCTCTTGTTCTTCCATTTCTTGTTCCACCGTGTAGCCTTGGGGCTCGACAATGTCGTTCACTTCAACAACTGGGTCATTCGCAGTGTCGACATGGCTTCCACCGCCATGGCTCAAACCTACGGATGGCGTGGCCAGGTACACAGACACACGGTCATAGACAATGACCTGACCAGGGCATTCTTCATCTTGCAGATGGCTTCATAGATCACATCTTTTAGCAGCCAAGAAGAACTGAACAATCCGACCATGGCAAAAAAAAAAGAGAGAGCACCATCATAGTGTTTGTCCAGGGTCGTTCACCCTCGTTCAAGTTCACTTCGGCAGCTTCAGCACCAATGCTTTCCATTGCAAGGGCGGACATTGCACACTTGGCAGCCTTCTGCCATTCATCTCCTTTTCGTCCTTGTCGAAATTGGTGCAGGTAGAAGTGCCTCCGACTGCAATATTTGTGCTTTTCATTTCCATCTTTCTCCTTCATGCACCCAGGGAGCAGATAAAGGCCTTTGGCTTTCTTCTCACTCTCATTCTCGACCATGAACACCTGTCCATCAAAGAGCTCTTCAGCGGCCTGCTCAAACTCCTTGGTCTCCCGTTCTCGATCTTCCGCACTCACTTTCTTGGCGGCCACAAAGTGAGGATCATAGCGAAGGGCATGAACACCACGGGAGAGGGTATGAGCCAATGCATCTTTCGCTGAAGGCTTCGTTAGCCCGTCCGCGAGCTGCTGCAAGGAGTTGCCCCATTTGAACTCACCTTTTGCAGCCTTCAACCGCTCACGTAGGATGCTTATTTCGATGGCAGTGCGACGCTCTGAGAGTTTGAGTCCAGGTGTCACTGACAATGCACTGTCGTAGAGAGCTTTGGCGTCCGTGATGACGGGAGATTCCTGAAACACATGCATTGTCTGGTCCTCCTGGATGGGGATGAAGGGGTTCAGCATTGCTGCAAAGAACACTTTGGCCCACTCCAACTCGTCAATGGCGATTGTCGCCGACTGGGCTTCTGCGCTCAAAGCGGACCAGTTTCTTGCTCGACCAGTCGATCACTGTCAACGGAAAAGGGTGCTCTCCACTGACCTCATCGGCATTGGCCAAAAACATCAGCATGCCGCCTTGCGAGCTTCCGTCAGGTCGAACTGACCAAGCGGCATCACAGTAGACACCGATTCGCAGGGCCTCCAATGGACCATGACAGCGGATCGTGAACACATAGCCTTTCACCACTTCTTTGAGAAACCTCAAACACTTGTTGGCCTCAAGCATGTCCTTCACGGTCGGTTTGTTGATGCTCGCTTGCAATACGCTGATTGTTGCAGAGGCCTGAGGCAAACACTGAGTTGCGGGCCATGACATTGCCCCCACCAGCGCACGAAGCAACCTGTGCTCTTTCTCGTTGCAGTAGTCATCGACCATCGTCTTGCGACTTTTCTCGAGGCTCAGGGGCTTGATCTTGTGGACGTACTCCTGCAAGGAAACTGTGATCGTAGATCGATCCTCGCTTTGAGCCACATCAGCTCCACAGAACCTCATCTTCTCGCCGAAGTCCCAAGCTCCAAATCGAAAGCGCCTCGACAAAAGGCTCACTCGCTGGCAGAAAACTTCGCAAGCACCAGCGTAGTCCTCTTGGATCTCATTCAAACTTTCCACTCCTTCTCCAGCTCCGAGAAAGTCGTCCACATGGAGTCCCAACACTCCGTCGACGATCCACCAGGAACCATTCTTCTCGAAAGTCAGGAAGGGATCGTCCTCAGCTGTGGCCTGTTGGGTTGACAGATAGAGACAGCGATCCAGTGGATGGTTCACCAAACCAAGTTCCTTGACCAGATAGTCATTCGCCGTCTCGTTCCACTGCCTTGGAGCTCTGACGTCACCAAAAGCTGGTTTGGTCGCTTTCAAGATCTCGTGCTCCTTGAGTCCCATCAGGCGTTCCAGTCGTCTTCTCATCTCAGCAGGGGGACGAACATAGATCCTTAAGTGGAGTCATCGATGGAGTTCGACTGCGTGAAAGCGGACTTCACATCAGCACACCATAGCTTCCAGGATCGATGCGTTGCCCAAACCATGATGGTGATTCTCCCAAGCCGACTCAACGTGGGTGACTCCTTCACCAAATTCTCATTGAGCACGTCCTTGTGGCGGAATCCTTGGAGGATCACCCGGGCATTTGCTTTTCTGCCCTCGCTGGTCGGTTTCCACCGTTGGAGGAATCTTGCGGGCACCACTTCTCCCTCACCTGCCTCGCTCTCAGGGACCGCCTTCCAAGCGGCATTCTCAATCCAAACCATGAGAGCAGCATCCTTGGCGGTGTCGAACTGCTTCTTCTCATCAGGGGTGAGCTTGCTCTCCTTGAACGTTTCGGCCATGAGCAGTTCATCGTCTGCCATGGGTTCCATGTTGTCGAGGAACCTCTGAAAAGAAGGGTCATCCTGCTGAACTGGAGGCAATCCACCCAGCTGTCGGGAAGAGTTGTATGATGCGAAAGCGATCGACCTTTCATCTCGGGACATCGGACTTCGAGATCTTCCTCTCTGCGGTTCAAGGGGTCGATCATCATGTTCTTTCGACATCTTCTCGGTTTTGGCTGGTCTTTCATCCTCTTCTGTAGGATGCATTCTCTTGGCTCCTCTGCCTTGATTCACTTCTGGCTCTGGCTTGGTTTGTGCTGTGGCTTCTGCAGCGGCGTGTGGTTCGTTAGCAACCTGCGTCTGCTGTGGTTCTGCTTGTGGCTGCTGAGGTTGTGTTTCCGCTTCAGCTGTGCCAGAGCCTACTTGGTGTTCTTCTTGTTCCTTGATTTGGCCAAGTTCATCAGACTTGTCATTCTCGTTTTCTTGTGAGTCCGAGCCTTCATCGAGAGGATTGGATCCTGATGCGTCAGCAAAAGGAGGGTCCGAGGTGCTTCGGCACGGAGATGCTCAGGTGCAACACGCACCAGGGCCGCGCCATGAGCCAACCAGTAGGTAGAAGGTGCAGGACCTGCATCGGAAAGCTCACGGGGTGTCATCGAGCACACTAATGCTGGTCCACGCCAGCGGCTGATGTCCAGCTTGGAATCGCTGGATCGCCAGTAGTAGACCCATTCGCCGGGGTAGAACTGCTGATTGTCTGGTCGACTCTTGCTAAGCAATGCAGTGCGCAAAGTCTGGCTGTGGTTGGCTGTGTAGAAGGCCTTGGCTGCATTCAACCGGAGAGCTTGGAGTGCCTGATGATCGTTGGACGGATCAGCCTGGCGCCTCAAAGGTTCATCCATCAGTCCAGTGCTTTGCGCCGTTCGACCAAAGACGATCTGTGCTGGTGAGGTGCCATGGATTGAACGGAGTTGACTGCGAAGAGAGCATGCGACCGGAACTGGGGTTTCCAAGGAGATTGCAGGTTGTTCTTGCTTCATCTTCAGAAGTTGCAGTCTTCTTACTGCATGCAATCTCTCCACAACTCCCATTCTGTGATGGGCTTCTTTGGGTACCAGCACCACTTTGATGCCTCGATCATCCATGTAGTTCTGGAATTGTTCACTCATATGAGCTCCAGATGCATCCGTTCGAAGACGTTGTGGGCATTGAAAGGATTCGATCCATTGGTCAAGCACTTTCAGCTCCTCCTTCTCAGTTTCGCTGGCAACCACTGCATTGATCTCATACCTGGAGAACAGGTCGATGATAGCCAGAACTCTTCGTTTCTCATCATTCCAGCGAATATGGAAAATGTCCATCTCCAACATTTCGTTGAAACACTGAGTCTGAGGTAGGGATGCAGGCTTGGACAGCTTCTTGTCCGTATAGCTTTGGCAAGTGTCACATCGGTATGTCTTTGCACATTTGATCACCTCTTCATTGAAGCCTGCGTCCTTGGCTGCAGCCGCAAGACGATCACGTCCTGGATGACCCAATCGGCGGTGCAGCTTCTCGACAACGGCCAGTGCCTTCTTGGAGTGCGTGCTTGACTTCTCAATCTCCTCATTGGTGATGTCTTTCTCCTGGTGGGTCCCTGCCGTTTCTTCTTCTTCTGCCACCAGGACTTCCATAGCCATGATTTTGGCTATTTCCTTCTTTTGCCACACTTCGTCCATGCTCTCATAGATGGCACGAGCTGCCTTTCTCACAAACGCGGGCTCGTAGTTCTGCATGTCTTGTAGAGCTTTTGTCTTCCCTTCCATAGGAACATGGGCTCGGTCACATAGGCACTGAAGATGTAGTGCTTCTGCCACTTGCTTCGAGCTGGTTCGAATCCGGGTCTGCTTTCTCACCGGGCCTTGGATCTTGTGGTCCTTGTAGAACAAACCAGTGCGGCATCGATCGCAAGTGGCTTCATAGTAGCCCGTCATGGATTCCATAGTCCCAGTCTTCCAAGATTCTGCATGACTGGGGCGTTCAAAGGCATACTTGTTCTCTTCCTCCTTGGTGATCTGGGCTGTGTTCTTCACCATTTCGAGGTGAGATTCTTCTTCTCTTTCACGATCTTCTTGTAGGCGTTGAGCTTGAACATCGGTTCTCCGATTCAGTCGCTGGATGGCTGACCATTTGCGACAAGGTGGTGCCAGCCAAACAAATTCTGGACTGACTGTTCGGAGGAGATCGATGAACTCCTGTCTCACCTCCTTCTTCATGAAGCCCCTCTCTGGCAGTGAAAAGCTTGACACTTCGACGTCAGCGTACTCCTTGGCAAGGAAAGCTGACAAGTTGCCATGGTCCACATAGACCTCAAAGAACTTCAACTTTCTTTCCTTCTTGATTCTCTCCAGCATGGCTTCAGCGGCGTCCTTTGCCTCAAAAGCTTCTTCTTTCACCTCTTCCATCATGCCATCGGTGACTTCCATCTCCATTGTTGGTTCAATGTCCCAGGCTTCATGCAGTGGGCTTGACGGTCCATTGGCACTTTCGTCCTCCTCCTCGGACGGGAAGAAGTTCTCGTCCTTCGACGGGTACATCATCAAGTTCAGGAGGAAGTGACCACGAGCGTTGCGCTCAGGCTGAAACCAGTCCGATGCGCCGATCTTCATCGTTCCATTCCTATAGTCATGGACCACGCCCCATTCCTCCAGTGTGGGACGGGCAAGAAGGAATGGAGTTGAACCTGGGACCACGGAGGCAACCACTGGAAGGATTTGTCCGTGGATCACTGCAGTGAAGGAAACCTCATAGGATGACTGAAGAGTCTCACCTCCACCAAATTTGAACTGACGGGTCACCTGTCTGGACACCACAGGATCAGTCTGATCCGAGCCATACTTTTCAAGCCACAAGTGCCAATTTTCTTCACCGACAATCGTTCTGGTTGCTCCACTGTCAACGATGGCTTTTCCAGCTTCTGTCGTTGCAAAGAAACATTGTTCACCTTCGGGTTCTCTCAAAGAACACTCGAACTCCACCTTCTCCACGTTCTCCTCGACCATAGTGATTTCCTCAGGCACTTCCTTTACGCCGGAAGCTTGACTTCGATACCTCTTGAAACGAGGTCCATGCTGAGCGGTTGACCCGCTCAAAGTGGACTTGTCAGTGGTGCTTCCTGTCGAAGAGGGAGAAAATGGAGGCTTCCGAAGTCCAGACATAGGTCGCCTAGTGAAGGGCGTTCTCCTCATGAAGCTGTTGCCACCTTTTCCTTTGCCTTTTCCTTTGCCCTTGCCACCACCAAACTTTCCTTTTCCTTTACCACCTTTGCCTTCTCCTTTTGGACTTCTGTAGGTGGTGTTCTTCTCCACTTCAGGGCCGAGAGCCACGACGGGGTAGAAGCCTCGAGAGAGAGCCAACTCCTTCATCCTTTTTCTGCTTTCGACATATGAAACAAAGGCCTCATCAGCCTGGTCCATAGCTTCTTCAAGCTCTTCTGGGATGTCATACTCCTCGTCGTATTCATCGGCTCCATCATACCATTCATCCCATTCTTCGGCCATGGCGGCTTCTTCAAACCACTCTTCATCGTCCTCCTCATAGTAGGTCTCCTCTTTGGCACCTGAAGAAACCATGCGGCCCAAATCGCGAGCACTTGGCTTGTGATCTCCACCGAACATGCGAATGAGGGCCTTTCCGACCTTGTCATAGTCCAGGTCGCCACCGCACATCGACTTGATCTGGACGTGCGTCCACCGGGGCACACCTGCCCTCGTCATGAGGTGCCACCCGGAGAGGAGTGGAGGAACATCCACATTGACCTCCTTCATTCTCTTCAAGAGCGTCTTATGGCGTATCAAGTACGCCTGCAACTCTTCTCCTTTCCCTCGCTGGAACTCGCTGAAGAACTCGTCACACCCCGAGGGAACTTCAATCAAGTCTTCATACTGGTAGAGGTCGTCGAGCAGCTTGAACACCAGCTTGAAGGGATCACTTGATCGTTCGACTTCATCGAAGTTCAACTGTTCAGTGGCATCCCATGCCACGTCTCTCAACTTGCTAATCACCAGGAAGGTCCCCTCCACGGCTGTCTCTCGACCTCGGCGTCCACATTGACGTTGGAACAACTCAAGCCTTCTTCGATAGCTCCGGTAGGTCTTTTGCGACAAGCCTTCTGAACTTGGGCATGCTTTTGCCAAACCTGAATCTAAACCTCCACGAGATGGTCCAGGATTAAAAGGCATCTGCAAGCCATCATCACCTTCTCGTTCTGGATTGGTGAAGAGACCTCCTCGGGCAGCAGTTGGTATCGTCATAGGTGGTCCTTGCTGCTCGGGAGCGGCTGTCCTGGCTCTTCGAACTGGAGTCCGTCTCGGACTTCCTCTGTCCATGCCAGACATAGGCGAAGATCTTATCTTCGTCTGTCAGCAGGAAACCGAAGGGCTCTGCAAGGATGTAGGTCACCAAAGACGAACTTTACCTGGAGCGTCTCGAGCTCCGCTACCAATCTCGATGTGGTAGAACGACAGCAAGCGAAGTCTGCGTCTCACCTTTTCTACTGGGGTCGTAGTCTAGCTATGCTCAAGGGCCCTCGTGGCCGCAAAAGGGACATGGAAAATGCTCAACCTGTCATGAAATGACGTGTATTCATGGATGCATTCGCAAACATTCAGACAACGATAATAAGCACCCCCACCAGAGCTTTTCCTTCTCAGATCTTCTCAGGCACCCTCCAAGCTGACAAACCCGTCAATGTCGAACCCACAAGAACAGCCAGTTCGGACATGCACATCTTGAGGCAAATCCGAGCTGACACTTGAGAGGTCAGACCATGTCACACATCAAACCATCCAAAATTACTTAGCTCATCTTAGCCCCATCCAGAATCGATTTCACAAAGGTAAACTGGCCAAAAGAACTGGAGTTTGGGTAGCAGAGCATCGCCGATGCCTAGCGGCCTAGCATGGACGAATCGCATGTTTTCGGCGGGTCACCCAACTGTGACGGCTGGCCAATCGCAGGTCGAAAGTTCCCGGCCATCCAAATCTCGTCTTCTGCCTCTGGCTTCTGGAACACCTCCTCATCAATCCGCATCTCGTTCAGCACGCGCTGGTAGATGTCGGCACAGTCATTCTGCGGCCTCTGACACTCAAAGCCCGGCACCGGCAGTAGAATGTCCGACAAAGGAGTGTCGTTCTGCTCCCCTGGGCGCAAGCATCGAACGCCAGACTCGTCCATGATGAAGTCACCTGCAAGAGGTTCCATCATCCCTTCCTGGATGCGAAGGGAGAGGACGCGATTCCAAATGTGAGATCCCAGGGAACGACACCATAACAAGCGCAAATGTCGCGGTATAGCCTTCAATGCTCCCCGAAAGTCATCAGGATCTTCTGCTAAGTGTTGCAAGACCTTGGGAAAGCAGCCCGGCACAGAACTGGATCAACTGCACTTGGGTCTTCCAAGACATCCCGCCCAAGACTCAGAAATGCAGAATGTCACAATGTCAATTCATCCAATTGGCATCCCTATGCCTTGTCCTTTTCTCTGACTCCAAGCCCCCAGCGCTTTCATGCGCTTTCTCTCCATGACGCAGCTTGGGAACTGCATGCTCTTGCAAGCAGGATCTCGGGATCATCTTCAGCGCTTCATTGAAACAACCCTCTTTAGCCCTGAGGAAGGCCTTAGCAAGGCCGAGCTGTGAGCCCTTTGACTAGAAGGCCTGCTTCAAACCCCAGAAGGGCAGCGTGGGCGCATCTCCAAAATTTACAGGGCAACCACATAATTATGTATTTACAAAATTAATCAAGGTATATCAAGGTTATACAACATCAACAAAAAATCATGCGCTTGGTAAACACGAAGCGGTCGGTTGAGAATGCCTCTCTCTGTGTCAAGGTCAAGAAACATCCCCCAAATCACAATCTTGTTTGTGTGCTTGAGTCCGCTTAACATACCCCCAAACACCACCAGCCATTCCCAGCCTGCAATGCCGCGCCATGCCGCGCACGCGAGCGGAGCACCACTAGGACAGCCTCCTTGTGGTCTTGTCGTAGTAGGGAAAGACCCATCTCGGAGGAGGGCCTGTTCCAGCTGGCCAAGACTGAAGATCAGGACGATCGAGTTTGCGGAGGGAAACTCTCTGGAGACGGGTTGCCAATGGTTGCCACCTACCAAGTCCTTGATGATAGAGACTACACTCTGACTCACTAACATGAAAAATATGGAATCTGCAAGTGGAGGCTAGATTCGACTACTTTCCTTCTCAAAGGGTGTTCCATTTCCATTTCTATTCTTGACCTTTTTTGAAGCCCAAATCGTTCCAACCCGTAAAGGTCTCCAAGTTGATTGGGAGTGATGGAAGTGATGGACGTGCCATTTTGTGCTGCACGAGGCTATTCCATGCACATGATTCATGCATACGATCTCGTTGATTCTCATGGTACTAATGCCAAACCCCGTATGACTGCCTTTGCACAGAACTTGAACCCGGGACAAAGCGTCAAACGCATTGCACCCACCTTTGCCCCGTGCCGAAGCGTTGCATTCCAAAGTAATTCGGGAAACCTGCACTGCTTTGGGGCTTACAAATCTCTGACAAGGTGTTCCACCATCCCAAAATCATTCAGCGAGCTCACTACTCTTTTTCATTCCCCCATCTTCCACCCAAAGAAAATGCAAAAAGTCGTATTTCAAGCGGTTCCAAGTTGCCGGTGGCCTTCAGTGACTGAAAGCTTTCGGCAATGTCCTGCCGAGTCTGTTGGGCGCCACCAGTGCCCGACTGGACATCTCGCAGCACCATGGTGAAACAGTTGCCTTGATGGCTCCCCACACGGGCCTTGCTGGCTTTCCACTCAAGGTCCCCAACCTTGATATTCGGATCCTCAGTGGATATGAGAACATGTGCCCTTAGTGGACGTGAGGCCTCCTAGCTATTTGTAAGGGAGAGTACGGTGTGGCTGCTGTGGGCGTATAAATTGCTGGGGTGGGGAACCACTGCAAGAAGTTGAGGGCAGCGACCACGAAAAACGATCAACCCCGACTAAAACAATTTGCTCCTCCCTTGCCACTGCTCAGGAACCTTGAACACCACTGGACGCAAATCCTTCAAGGCATCAGTTGGAAAGCTGCCCCGTTGAGTGGTGATACCCCAGCGATCCTTCATTCCGCAGAAACTGAAGGCCTTGGTCTGTGCTGGAAGTTGTAAGGCCCTTGCAATCTTGTTGAGTGCTTCTGGCGTGGTATGCTCACGCTTCACCAAGGTAAACCAAACATGCGAATTCTCACAATTCTCATCGCATGCCTTTGCAAAATTCACGAAGTCCGAAACCTCACACTCCTTGACAGGGTTGGGCCAACCTGGCCGGAAACAAAACTTGTGGCCCCCAAATGAAAGCAAGGTTGCCAAAACCATCCACCACTATTATTAAACTAAACCACCCCGGCCCTCGTCCGGGGCATTCCCCGGGTCCCCCTTTCGGTTTCCTGTCCTGGCTGAGCCGCGCGGGGCCATCGTGATGCTGTTCCCGCACTAGGAAATCGAAGGCGAAGCGTTGGACCTCCGCGCGAAAGCCCACATGTTGCCCGAGGAAAGCCCCAATGCCCACCTCTGCTGGCTTGAAGCATCGAAAGCACCTGCTGCCATGCAGCATGTGCCCCACATGGAAGCCAACTATGGCGTCTCCAAGAAGAACACATTGCTTAGTGACTTAGTGTGGGAACTGTGGCGAACTTGGGGATTGAAGCTACATGGGCAACACTCAACACTTGGAAAGAGGCGGAGATTGATAAAAATTGATAAACATGGTTGTGATGTTGATGATCCCAACTCGATAGGGCCGCTGCTGCCTTGCAGTTGTTGCCTTGTGTGATCTCCAAACTCGCGTGGGCTGGGGTTGTTAGAGATTTCTTCCTCCATCTCCCCATCACACTTGAGGTAATTCAGTCTTTGGTTCGAGCCAGCTGCAACTTTGGGACCCTCTGTCATTGAACACCACTCCAGCGTGAGTTCAGCACAATGAAAGACTCGTTGACAACTGTTTCACACCCACTCCACTCCGCAGCAGCAAAATCTTGCGGCCTCCCCTCTTCAGGGCTGTTCGACAGTGGCAGGGGCGGTTGGAACCGCCCGGAGCAACTGCTCCCCAACAAGGGGCGACCACCACATCCCCAGCAAGCGCGTTAGCCCATATGCCTTGCTGTCATACATCGCGACGGGCGATGCGTTGGCCCCAAGGATGCTACACCCTAGCGCCTGCACCCGGCCAGCGGTGCATCAACTGCTGCCAAATCTTGGCTGCAGGGCTCTCTGGCGTAGTGCCATTCGAAACCCTTCACAGTTGTCAGGGTCGACGCAAGCGTAAATCATTTCACAACGCATCACCGACCAAGCACCACACATTTGTGTTTCTTGTGTACAACTCACAATGCCTCCGCTTACAGAAGTACGCAAACCAACCAAGAAGATCCAAGAAGCAGCTTCAAGCATGTTCTTGAGGCAAGCCACTTGGTGTTCGAGCGAACGGACCAAGCGACAAGCTAGGACGGGCTAAGATCGCTACTGACTTGATGTCACGGTGGAAAGCCTGCGCTGCACCAAGGGGCTGAGTATGCACGGCTCACACGTGCAGCCTAGATCAAAGTGGGGTAATGTAAAGTTAGGATTAATAAATCCCCCCTAGTTAACCCGAGCCCACAAAAAGTAGTATTGGTTGTTGATTTCCCCCCCGATGGTCTAGTCTAGTTTTCTACCTACCTACCTACCTACCTATCTACCTACCTACCTACCTACTACATTTTTGATGAAATCCTAAAAAATGTCCAGGGCTCAGGGCCTATAAATTGGCTTATTAAAAAACAATAAAAAACAATCATTTGACAAGGGCCGGTCCCCCATCAATAATCTACTACCCCCTATTAAAATGAAATGTGGGGCACGGTCCGGGAAGCGACCAAGCAACCGTTTGTTTCGAGCATCCAGAAGTGATTGTGACGCGACACAGTATGCAAGGCCTTGTTTTCATCCGCGATTCCTTAGGTCACTGGACCCACCGAAGGCCACAATCCAGACCCAGAACACACGCAGCCATAGCGACACCCGAAGGATGGTGAATGACGTTGAAAATGGATGAAAATGGGAAGTCGTCGCACGTGGCACTGACAGTGGCGCACTGCTGAACGCAGGACAAGGGCCTCAACACAAAAGCACGTCCCTGCGTGGTATGCTCACGCTTCACCAAGGTAAACCAAACATGCGAATTCTCCGCAGCAGCAAAACCTTGCGACCTCCCCTCTTCAGGGCTGTTCGACAGTGGCAGGGGCGGTTGGAACCGCCCGGAGCAACTGCTCCCCAACAAGGGGCGACCACCACATCCCCAGCAAGCGCGTTAGCCCATATGCCTTGCTGTCATACATCGCGACGGGCGATGCGTTGGCCCCAAGGATGCTATACCCTAGCGCCTGCACCCGGCCAGCGGTGCATCAACTGCTGCCAAATCTTGGCTGCAGGGCTCCCTGGCGTAGTGCCAGTCGAAACCCTTCACAGTTGTCAGGGTCGACGCGAGCGTACATCATTTCACAACGCATCACCGACCAAGCACCACACATTTGTGTTTCTTGTGTACAACGCACAATGCCTCCGCGTACAGAAGTACACAAACCAACCAAGAAGATCCAAGAAGCAGCTTCAAGATGCTTCAAGCACGTTCTTGAGGCAAGCCACTTGGTGTTCAAACAAACGGACCAAGCGACAAGCTAGGACGGGCTAAGATCGCTACTGACTTGATGTCACGGTGGAAAGCCTGCACTGCACCAAGGGGCTGAATATGCACGGCTCACACGTGCAGCCTAGATCAAAGTGGGGTAATGTAAAGTTAGGATTAATAAATCCCCCCTAGTTAACCCGAGACCACAAAGCCGCCGGAAATTGCTCAAATTAAAAGTAGTATTGGTTGTTGATTTCTCCCCCAATGGTCTAGCCTAGTTTTCTACCTACCTACCTACCTACCTACTACATTTTTGATGAAATCCAAAAAAATGTCCAGGGCTCAGGGCCTATAAGTTGGCTGTTTATAAAAACAACCAAAAAAAATCATTTGACAAGGGCCGGTCCCCCATCAATAATCTGCACTACTATCCCCTATTAAAATGATCCTGTGTCCCTGGCCTTTTCTTTGTGCTTGTTTAAGCTTATTGTGACTACTACTACCACTACTGCTGCTGCTACTGCGACTACCACTACCACTACTACTACTGCTGCTGCTGCTCCTACTACTATTTTTATTACTACTACTACTACTACTCCTCCTCCTACTCCTACTCCTACTCCTACTCCTCCTCCTCCTCCTGCTGCTGCTGCTGCTGCTGCTGCGACTACCACTACCACTACTACTGCTGCTGCTGCTCCTACTACTATTTTTATTACTACTACTACTACAACTACTACTACTACTGCTGCTGCTGCTGCTGGTACTACTACTGCTGCTACTACTACTACTACTACTACGACTACGACTACGACTACTACCACGACCACCACCACCACGACTACTACTACTACTACTACTACTACTACTACTACTACTACTACACTACCACTACCACTACCACTACCACTACCACTACCACTACCACTACCACTACCTACTACCTACTACCTACTACCGACGGCGACTGCGACTGCGACTGCGACTGCGATTCAGGGGGAGTGGACCTCATGAGTGGCATCTCATATCGTCTTGACCTTGTTGACCTACCACGTGGGGGGGGGGGTTTATTAATCCGGTCTTCGCATTAGTGCAGCACAGTCCTTGTTCCAGCCCTCACTGCTCAGCAGTTTTTGTGCCTTTGGAGTGGCATTGTGCATGTGGGAGAGGCCGCTGGCAGCATCCAGAAGTACGGATAGCCTGCACGGCAACCAACGGATTTCGTTGTCCAATGCAACATCCTCGTTGCATGCTGGTAAAAAGATTGATAGGCTATTGAGATTCTCACGGGTGAGGGATCAAATCGAAACGTGCGACCGAAAAGCCATTCTCATGTTGGAGACCCGTTGCAACACTCAAAGGAAGTGACGCAAAGCAAAGTGCGCGTGGCGCCTGTCATGCCAAAGAAAGCTCTTCTTTCCAGTGTGGCTTTTATGAAGCCTCAGCGTGGGTGAGCGCATCAAATCCACAATATCCAAGCACTCGAAAGGTGGCACACACACAAAGAGAGACCACTTGACTGCTTCTCATCCCCCATGTCAGGTCATACGGATCATGCCCATGCCGTATCCTGATGGGAATTGCGGAGTGTTCCCTCGTGTCCCCCAAAGCAACGGATCCCGCAAAAGTGCTGCTCACAGCGTGCCTCTGAAAGACGTCGCCACCAGACAGGAACTCATACCTCAACTCTTCATCCAGCATGCAGCAAGAAGGTAAGCAACTGATGAGCAATGATAATTGTATAAGATGTTTCCTGTGCGGATCAGTTGCTTTATATATGTGTTTTGATTTCCATTGTGTCACCATGTATTTCCAAAAGGTGAGTCTACTACGCGTACTTGTGTCAGCTGCCCTACGTCTAGAATCTAGAAGTCCTGCTGAAGTCTCCGAAAAGAAGGCTCGGACACCAAGTAGCGCTGTAGGCCATGCTGTCCCCACCTCAGTGGAACTAACCTTAAGAACTCCAAAATATTCCACTCGGCGCCCCTAGGCCTCAGACCCTAAAAGCGTCACCAGGTGTGGGTGCCTGGCGGCCAAATGAAGCCAACAGATCCAATGATCCAAATGGGTGTGTCGCCATGGATAGCCACGGGCAGTCAGGTCAGTCACGAGGCTCGCCACCCACAGGACGAATCACATGCGCCACATGGCTCCGCTCCAACGATCAGGAACGAGGCCAAGAGCCAATCGAAACTGGCCAGGAATGCCGGAATTTACTCAACAGCTGCACCTCCTCATCAAAGCCTGCATCCTTGGCGCAAAGCTGACACTCAAATTCAACCGACAACGGCCAACCAGGATGGGAGTTGGCAATCATGTGGAAATCCCATGCGTTTCTACTATATACGTTCTAATTAGTCAACATCAGGCCTATAAAAGGTCCATCAATTCCTGGCTGCCTATGCAACATCGCACGCGCCTGCGGACACTCGCCCTTGCCCATCAAGACACTGAGATCAATGGCCTGGGACATTCTGCATCAGAGAGCTCACTCAAAGTTCCCAACCCAACCATTCATCTTCCCCCGCATCTGTCCAAACGCTAATGTCCAAGCATGGAAACGCTTAGTTGGAAACATCGAGCAAATCAAGCGAGTGCTTAAAGCTGGTCTCTGTTTTTACGGAATTTGCACCTTGATGGCCACATCTGAGCCATCCTGGGGGAGAGCTGGAGAGGCGGGACTGATGACCTAGCACCATGGCTGGCTGGCCCCAGAAACGCCTCCGAAGCCAAACATGCCGAACAGGACCCAGGCCTTTCCATCAAATCCCAACCGCGGGTTCTACCATACAACCTCGTGAATCCATGACCAGAGTGTTCCCAGACCATGATGGCTGCAGCACATCTTCTTCGCGTGGTTTCTGGCTCGTTCCCTCTGTTTCTCTGGATTTCCTGTTCTCCCCATCCCAGGCTTAGCTGGGACACGGGAGGAAGACGGAGGACAAAGATGCCCAGTGGGGGGCCACTGATTCGGCGAGTCCTGGCATTATTATTGGTGCCCTTCCATTGGATGGCATAGGGTGAAACAAACGGAAACAAAGGAGGCATGTGTCCATAGTTTGCTTTCGGTATACCAGTATAGTTTTTCTCTTGCGTAGGTCTTTTTGGGTTCTACTTCAATTCGCCCTGCTAACTTGGCAGGTTGTGATCAGCACACGTGCATCCATTCTTTCGCCTGCATTCTGCAGCTCTCCCCGCGAAAATCCCATCACCAGCTCCTTATGCTCCACCTATGACGAATTCGCTCTCAGAGGCTTAGCAATCCATTGCGCCCAGAGAGAAGGTTGAAATAGGCCTCACCAGTGATGAGCAAAAGCCTTGAGCCTCCAACATCATCCTTGGCTTCGGCTGTGTATGCGCTAAAGTCCGGACAATAGACCTGGCGATTTGCCTTGGACTCCGCCTTCTCCTTGTTCTCCTTCCGTTCCAAGGCCGCTTCCAAGCATCTCTTCCCCAAAAAGCTCCATGGGCCATGGATGGATTCATAGGCTTCTTGCCCTGCGAAGACCTTCACCTCCCCTGAAATCACCAAAGCGGCATATTGAGCTGGCTGACTGCGATGGTATAATGCAGTCCCTTGGTTATCCCGACCAGTGCCCACCACTTGGCAGCTTCGAAGTAGGAAAGCCTGCAGGGCACTGCAGGGTGTGCTACAATCAACACAGCTGGGAATAGTACTGATAGGACTAGGACCAGGACTGCATGCCTGTGTTCAAACCATTTTCCACCCTCCAGGCAAATCCTCGCCTCTAACCTTCCCTGCTCCACACGACCAAAGAGCTTCATGTAGCGCTGCCGCAGGAAGGCAGCTGCCGCGACCACCTCGTCCTTTGAGAGGCCCCGTACCACCTGCATCAAACAACATCTCAAACGAGATATGATGAGATATGGAGCATGTGAACACATGTGAACACACATGTGAACAAACACAGTGTGTTTCTGACCTCTCGACCGAGATCCATGGATCTGGTCTGGATCCCAGCTCAACCCAAGAGAAGCCACCAGTACAGGGGTGAAACGAAGGATCTCGAGCTGTTGTGGATCCTGGGTGAAATGGATGATTGCTATCTTTGTGTCTTTATGACTTTATGTATGATGTGTACACACTCTTCCGATTGCTTTGCTCCCATCATCGCATCCACCACCCACATGCGCCTGCGCAGGCGCTTGGTGTACTGGCGTTGGGTCTAATGCTTCGTGAAAGCGCCGGACATTCGAGAACATGCCGCTGGGCTCGCTGCTCACCTGTCATCCATGCCGATTGAACGGCTCCATCATCGAGACTCAAATGCTTTTAAGCGTGACCTGGGACCCTAGGGGCCCGGTACTGTACCAATTGCCATGGTTTCGGGATGTGTCGGGTGTCCATCAAAAAGTAAGCAGCGAAGCGATGCAACTGGAACATACGGGAAGCACATACCTAGCCTCTGGATTGACAGGTTCCACAAAAAATATCAAAAAAGTCACTATATAATATGCAGGAAACGACATGATCAAGTGAAAAACACGTAGTGAGATCATGTGGGACCGTTGGCAACCCTTGCTTTTTGTGAAAGGCCAGCTTTATGACAAGCTTGAGGCCTGCAACACTCAAAAGGCAGAATTCCGGCACGATGTTTTTTGGATCTACCAGAAAGTACAAGATTCGGGTCGGGCTCCATACTCCCACCTCTGAATCAACATCATCTGCGTCTACTTCGTGCACATCCTCCTGGACAATGGTATTCAGAAGGTCTTGAAGCGTGAGAATGCCCACATGCCGAAAGTAAGGATCGCAGTCTTCATCGTTGATGATACCTCGCTGGCGGCCCTGTCCCCAAGTTCAGGCTTATAACTTACAACCACTGTTTCAACTTCTTCATAGATCTGAACCGACAATAAGAAACCACACGCAACGCGCAAACAGTGGCATAAGCTGAGCCAAGCCTGAGAAACCACATAATACGCGCATGTCAACAGAGTCCATTGACAAAGTTATGGTTACGATGTTAAGTTACATTGACTTCAGCAGTAGCCTTTAATTTCATAACACTTTACGGTGGCCCTTCCTAGTAAGCGGTTGGGGAACTCCTTGTAGCTCCTTGGCTCCCTGTTGAATGGGGAATATGGATACCCCTGGCTCCTTAGCTCCCTCCTGAGCAAAAGCTAGCTTCTGAATTGTCGGTTAGACTCCGTTGGACGTCCTCAGCCAAGCTGCCCCGCACCACAGCCAGCTGGCTCGCGCCTCGGCGGAACTCTTCTAGAAGCTCCGGCAAAGGTGCGTCGTCGTCGACAATGAAGACCTGGCGGCCAATGAGGGGCAACAAGGCCTTCAAGGGCACCTCGTGGTCGATCTCCAGGAGCAGCAAGTCTTTCACATGAATCAAACCGACCACAGCAAACCTGAGAGATGAGGAGCGGGCTGACACGGAAGCGGGAGAAAAAAAAACGTGTTTTATATCATGTACAATAAAACTTATTATACAGCATGTAGTACAGCATGTTTATGCATGTTTTGAAGGAAAGGGCGCGTAAGGGCAGGAATTGGAAGAGGTCATCCAAAGACTTGTTGAGCTTACACCTGAGTCAACCCGTGGGGTGAACCGAACCCTCGAGACCCTCTGAAGAACTCCCAGAAGCTGCTTCTTGGGGTTCAAGGGGTCCCGGTCGATGACGGGGATCCTGGAGTAGCCAGCGGAGGCCACGGCAGAGCAAAGCCCTGGGTTGATCACGGCATGAGAATCCAGGCAGAAACACTCGGCCATTGGGACCATGATGTTCTTCGCCTGGGGATGGCGCGAGCTACGACACTAGCATCTTTAGCTACTTCTCCGCATCTGCGAGTGGCCGACCAAAAGCATCGGTCGTTGAGTGCCAGCGTCGCCACCAAACACTAGCTGGCCATGGTTGTTCTCCCCTGGTTGCCGAGGGGCCGTCATGGTCGAGAAGTCCAAGGAGCCTCGAAGGATCCGCGCTTCTTGCTCAGTCAGTAGGTGTGGTGCTTGCTTCCGTTGGTATTCCTTGGGTGCCGAACCCTGGATCACCCTGACTTGAGGGCCGGACTCGGAGTAAACATCGATTTCGGGCAACGGATGCCCAGTCTCTCGGTGAACCCTTTGTTGGTGTCTTAAGCTGGAGGGATGCGGGAAAAATGTGAAATGAAACACATCCTATCATCCTCTCTCTCTTGGCGCCTTTCGGAAGGCCCAACTCGGATTCAGTGGAGAAACCCCGAACACAGAGCTAACCGCCGGATGGCAAGTCTCAATCAAAGTCATGAACTGCTGCCGGTCCAAGACCTGGCCAATCTCTTCCCCAAAAAGCCGGTCAAGGATGAGGGCGATGGGCTTCGACACTGGATAGAGAAGTATCCAGAAGAAGAAGAGCAAGGGCACCAAGGCTGCTCCAATCCTTCGGGCTGTGGGGTCTTTGATGCTCTTTGGGTCTCAGGTGGAGGTTTCGAGTTCCACGAGGCACAAATAGCACCCACCTTGCCTGATCCAACCTGCAACCTGAGAGTTCATCCTCCAAACTAGCCTTGCGACGGCAAAAACAGGCGACCAAGAAAACAAAGTCTGGCAAATTACAACTTCTGGTTTCGCTCCCTTCGTTTTGAGACTAGCTTGGCTCTCCACCTAAGGACCTAAGGATGTTTGGTGACCTGGTCTGGAGGGGTTGGTCTGGTCCTCAAGCCGTGCTTGTAGCAAATCGATTGTGGCATGATCTCCCCAAAGGTAACGATGATCAAGGTTGTGGCAATGAAGGCTGCAGTCCCATCCCACAGTTCAGCCATCAAGATCGCCATATAGGAGTTCACCATCACATTCCCCAGGAGCACCGTGCACAACAACAAGTTCCCATCCTACATCAGTTGCAAGACGGAACCACCGAGCTCAACGGTGAACAGTTCAGCCAACAAGGAAACCAAACATTCCCACAAGTGCTGCTGCAGTAACAGTAGATATAGGTAGATATACATTATATAAATTACAATTAATGTTGTTCTGGGTTTGGCAACAGGCGTTGCAGACCGATCAGCATGTTCATCCGGTTTATCCGTGGCCTTGCGCAGCGGCAGGATCCGTTTGGCCCATGCCGCGTGCTGCTGGGCTTCTGTGGAACCATCCTCCCGATCAGCTGCCTTGATCAAGAGAATCAACTGATTCTCGTCCAGGCACATCAGTCCCAGGTTGAGCCCTGAGAAAACCGCCGACAAGGTGGCCAACACAAAGGTCGCTGCAATCTTGATCGCCACCACATGCGTCTCATGCTCTGCCTCTTCCATTCTCCACTCCCACGGCACAACACGCGCGGCACAAAGGCCTGGTCAAGGAGGAGGCCGCACATGGCGATGCAGCATTTCTGTTGCTGCCTCTGGAAACCACGCGGCCAATGCAATGACTCTTGGGCCCGCCCTGACTTCTGAACGCTGATGTCTTTTGCTGTGGCTCTTGGCCTGGTCAACATGGGTGGATGAATTTCTTGGCAAGCAGCCAGGTGTTGGAATGTGACAATACAATGCAAATCCTTGTTCCTTCTTGGACTCTAGACTCTAGACTGACCGCTCGACACCTCTCACCTGTCACATGAGGTTTCACACGCCACATGTCTTGAATGTGCACCCGCACACCTGACGTTCTGAAGCCAAAAGGCAGTCCAGCAACGGCTGCACTTCTGCCACTCTAGTGCGTCCATGCAGTGACTCAGTCCACATGGGCGAAGTCTGTGAGTTGACCCTTTTCTTGGTCTAAGAGTCTAAGAAGCAACCATGATGAAAGGGGACTCTTTGAACACCAACCAGGTCCCAACCAGCATATTCCAAATGTATCACAATGTCATAATGCGTAGAATGTTATAAGGACTATTATGATCGCAGGACACATCCTGTCTTGTACTGGTGCCAGTCCCTTCACACCGGTGCCATGGCGAAACACGTAAAAACAAGAGGAACCACGGAACTACGCGTCCAATCCCATGAACTATGCGATGCCCTTGTTACTAGCTTCTTGCTACTAGTAGCAATGGCCTCCAACGTAGTAGCGATGGCCTCCATCTAGTGGCTGCATGCTACTAGTAATATTGAGTAGTTCAATCATGAATCATGAACGTCTATGAACGTCTAACAAGAAGCTACTGGGTTGGAGGCCATCGCTACTAGTGACAAGAAGCTAGTTCGATGCAAGTTCGGGAGCGTCCCCACTGCTGCGATGTCGACCCACCGCCCTCCGAGGTCCTTCAGCTCGCCTCGGTAGACCGCACCATAGCACCCGGCACCTGAGGTTGGTGGCGGCCATGGCACAGGGTGACCGATTTGGGGCGGGGTTGTTACCCGCCCATCTTTTCCTTGGGTCGCATATGGCGTGATGCTGATTCCATTATCTCTAGATCCATTCGTCCTTCAACAGCGGCATCATGGATGTGGTCTACAGTTACTTACAGGAAGTCTTAAGTTGCTGGCTCAACTACCGGATGTGGCCGAAACAAAGACATGTAGTGCATATAGGTCCAGGCGATAGAAACGTGTTCACCGTTTGAACTGTTTCTCCACCACCAGCGTCCATCACCATGTGGTATCCTGGTCCTACCTCATGTGTCTTCTTATTCGCCATCACCAGGACCAGCTCTCCACTGCCCCAGCCTAGTCGCTTGCTGGAGTGAAAGTTGTTGGTGGCCTGCCATGCTGCAGCCAACTGGGACAAATGGAACTACATATATATATATATAATATATAGTCTAGTGAGTGGTCAGGGGCACAAAGGTGCCAAGAATCATCTGCCACAGTGAATCCGAAAATGCAAATCCTCATGCAACTCATCCACTCTGCCTTTTTCATCTGGAGTTTCGGGGTGACCACACAGGCAGGAGTTGGGGATGCCCTTTGATGCCAGTTGCGCGCTTCAGCTTTGTCCAAAGTAATTTTTGGGAGGCGTCCTGCCACCACCACAAAAGAAAGGGCTCCAGTTGCAGGCTTGAAAAAAGTGATAATACGGGGGTCGATTGATCTCAGGAAATCCTCCCTTGAGTCAATCAAATCTATTCTATTCGGCAACATCCAGCACCTGACATGCCCAACAGCGTCAGACCGGAACCAATTTGGATCCAGTCTGCCATGCTCCAGGTGAGACCATGGCTTTGGGGCTTTATGGGTCTTTGCTATGCAAGAACGGGGGCTTGCGCTTGGCATCGAACTTGAAAAGCGTGACACAAGCATTTGCTTGGCAATGTCCAATTGACAGTCATCTCCCGCTTCATTTGTACTCCAGCCACGCTAATTCAGAGCACAAGGGGCGCTTTAAACCTTTAAAACCCCGCAGCACCACAGCGAGCATCACTGGATATCAGTGCGTTTAACGTCAAAGCAAACCGATCGATCAAACAAATGGTGTCTGCAATGCTTCGAGGGCCAACTACGAGTATGTGGGGACTGAGCGCGCCTAGATGGCCAGCGAGCAATCTTCTTTCTGTTTTCACGTCGACTGTGCCGCGTTGAGCGAATGCGGCCGGACTAATTCTGCTTCAAAAGGGCGTTGCGACCTGCCAGGGACGCTCTCAGCAAATGGAGGCCTCAATCCTCACCCAAAGCTTCGCCCACTTCAAGGGATGTCGCAAAAGGTGCAAAAGCGTCCAGCTTTGTAAAACCTCCAAAGGTAGGCTTTGTATGGTTTCGTCATGTCCTAGAAAAGCCAGCTTCTAGCCGCTAGCCTATCGGTTTTTTGACATGACAAAAATATCTCGGGTCAGATCGGCCTTGGTCAAGGCTTGGGCCATGACCTGGGCAGGGGCGGCCCGGCGAAATCCTCACAGTGCTCCATGAAGCTGGGACCTGCAGAGGGACCTGCCGGGTCTTCTGGTTCAAAGGGGGCCGATGGGAAGAAGTCGTTTTCTGGTCCGCGGAATTTCCGCCCCGCCTGTGTTGCTGGAGGCCGGGTGGGGCCTTCACTGAGCACTGAGACCTTGGGTGGACTGACTCCGAGCTTGTTTCAAAGCACCACAACTTCTAGGCCTCATTTCAGTGTGCTGTTAAGCGCTATTAAGGGGAAGGCCAGTGGTGGGGGTAATGTTTGGAGTGTCATGATGTTTGCTGACACACTCCCGCTTGTGAAGATGTCACGCGCCACGTGCAGCCAAGACACCAGGCGCTCAGCCTGCGGCTTGGATGCCTGCGACCAAAGGACTTGTATCGCTTGTATGCATTCCTTTCGATGCGGTTTGTAGAGGAATCATTGCACCACGGTCCCTCCAACACACATGGATAACATCCCTTTCCCACCTGGTCGCAGGTGGCCCAGCGGCGAGCCAAACGCAACGCGCCTGTCTTACAAAGAACAGTGTTTTGGAACCATAGCACGGATGGCCTGTAGGCCACTTGTGTTGTTCTCTGTCTTTGCGTTTGCTCTCCGGATCATGCCAGCCTTCAGTGTCGCCCATCAATGCTGCCTTGCAGGTGAGATGGCTTCAGCGCTGGGATGTCTCTGACTGTGCCCATGCGCCATGGGTTAATGGAGTCCATCCTCCCGGATCACCCTCGTTCACCTTCATTCACCCTCCACCTGAGCTCCAGGCACAAATGGACTCAGCTGGCAGCACCTCCGTTCGCCAGCTCCGCCGGCGGTCGGATCGAAAGGACGGAAAACACGTCTTAGCTCAGCTCGTGCGAAAATGGACCCAATCGTGGGAGCAATGTAGAAAATCATAGACAATCAGAAAACCCCAGTCTAGAGGGGTGGAGGACCAAAAGAAAAACAAACAAGGATCAAAAACATCATAAACCCAAAAGAGCAACAAACAAACAAACCGGGATCAGCAACAGACAAAAAATGGCGATGTTGCAATAAAAACAAAAGGATGATCAACATAAAAACAAACAATGATCTAAAAATAAGTTTAACAATGAGCTAAGAAAAGGTAGGTAGGCAGGCAGGCAGGCAGGTAGGTAGGTAGGTAGGTAGTAATAGCAGTGGTAGTAGTGGTGGTGGTAGTGGTGGTAGTAGTAGTAGTAGTAAAAGAAGTAGAAGTAGTAGTAGTGGTTGTTGTTGTTGTAGCAGGAGCAGCAGCAGCGGGAGTAGAAGCCGAAGAAGAAGCAAAAAGTAGAAATAGCATTTGCAAAAGCAGCAGCAGCAGCAGTAGCAGTAGCAGTAGCAGAAGCAGCAGTAGGAGTAGGAGCAGCAGTAGTAGTAGTAGTAGTGGTAGTGGTAGTGGTAGTCGTAGTCGTAGTAGTAGTCGTCGTAGTCGTAGTCGTAGTGGTAGCGGTAGTGGTAGTGGTAGTAGTGTTAGTGGTAGTAGAAGTGGTGGTAGTGGTAGTAGTGGTAGTGGTAGTAGAAGTGGTGGTAGTGGTAGTGGTATTGGTAGTGGCAGTAGTGGTGATTCTTTCTGTCTGTCTGTCTGTCTGTCTGTCTTTCTGTCTTTATTTATTGTGTTTTCTTTCTTTCCTTCTGTCTGTCTGTCCGTCTTTCTTTCTTTCGTTCGTTCTATCGTTCTTTCTTGTCTCTTCCAAGTAGGTATTGTTTCTTGATGTCTGTTTGTTGTTCTTGATCCCTATTTGTTTTTTAGTTGATCCCTATAGTTTTTTAATTGATTCTTATTATCCGCCGACCCCGGCCTATAGCCAAAGCCTAGGCGGGGAGGCGCCTGGGACACCGCAGGGTGAAGCAGTTGGCCAAGCCTAGCAGAACCCTTCCAAGCACTTCCAAAGGCCTGTCCGAGGCCTCGCCAGCTGGCAGGCCTGCTGCGGCCTCTCTGTGGCCTGTCCAAGGCCTGCCTCCTCTCTCGGCAGCTGGCAGGCCTGTTGCGGCCTCTCTGTGGCCTGTCCGAAGCCTGCCTCCTCTCTTCTTATGGGCTTCCGAAGGCGACGTTAGGCATTTTGGACCGCCTTCAAACGCTCCTCGGCAGCTGGCAGGCCTGTTGCGGCCTCTCTGTGGCCTGTCCGAAGCCTGCCTCCTCTCTTCTTATGGGCTTCCCAAGGCGACGTGAGGCATTTTGGACCGCCGCAGCACAAGCCTTGCTGGCTCAGCACCTGGGCTGTCCAACAAGGCCCCCGCAAACAGCCGCCAGTCTATTAGCACAGCCAGAACAGAGGCATTGCTACTATGCTTCTTGCTGCCTGTTGCTAGTGGTTTTTCTGATCTTGTGATGCTTCTGGGTCTTCTTCTTAGTGCTGCTGTGATTGCTGTTGTTGGTGTATACCTTTGTGGGCTTTAGCGCAGGCCACAGCTAGCCTGTCCGAGGCCACGCAGCCTTGGCATGGCCT